AGTACAGATTGAACCTGGGACTGGGTACTTTCAACACCTATTAGAATGATGACAGTAGTAGCGAAATAAATGCTTTTTACTACTTTTGTGCATTTGATGTGCTCTCGAGACATACCAGAGATTGTTCAGAATGTTATTTTACTGTGAATTTGGACATACAGTAACCTACTTCATACAGTGGAGGGCGCCAAACAACAACAACAACAAAAACTTTACATCCATGTAAGGAACAAATTTGGTAGGGACCCTGTTATAAAAGGAATACTTTTCAGATGAAGACTTTTCTTCATACTAGGTACCTACATTCTATTCAGAAGTTTTTATATGGCAAAGACCTCATATAACCTGGCTGGACCATTATGTAAAATATGGCACTCGTGACAGAGGATAGCCTCTTGATACCTTACTGCAAGATGTAGTTAATAGAGTAATTGATGGTACAGTATGATACTACTATGAGACTGCTAAATAGCTAGTTAAATAGCTACCCGGACTATCTGCATTGACCCTTTTTGCACTAACTTTTTTGAATCATCACATACACTGCTGCTACTGTTTATTATCTATCCTGTTGCCTAGTCACTTATTCGTAGTTATATGTACATATCTACCTCAATTACTTGGTACCCCTGTACATCGACTCGGTACTGGTACCCGTGTATATAGTCAAGTTATCACTCATTGTGTATTTATTATTACGTGTTATTACATTTCTATTATTTCTCTATGGTCTGCATTCTTGGGAAGCGCCCGTAAGTAAGCATTTCACGGTTAGTTTCACCTGTTGTTAACGAAGCATGTGACGAATAAAATTAGATTTGGATTTGATACTTGTTAAAAGTCAATCATCAATATAATTTTTTTTTTTTCAAGTACAGTTGCGGTGCGTGATTAAAACCACTGGTGAAGCCAGAAAGAAAAGCCATATTACAACCTATGTGTTCTGATAATTGCGTTGTTTGCTCTATAGCCTGTTAGTTCATATGCCTTGCGACCTTGATAAATACAATGCATACAGTATTCAGACCCCTTGGCTTTTTCCACATTTTGTTACATTACAGCCTTATCCTAAAATGGATTCAATTATTTTTCCCCTCATCAATCTACATACAATAACCCATAATGACGAAGCGAAAACAGGTTTTTTGAATTTTTTGCTAATTTATTACAAATAAAAAACAGAAATACCTTATTTTCAGACCCTTTGCTATGAGACTCGAAATTGAGCTCAGGTGCATCCTGTTTCCATTCAACATCCTTAAGATGTTTCTACAACTTGATTGGAGTCCATCTGTGTTAAATTCAATTGATTGGACATGATTTGAAAAGGCACACACACCTGTCTATATAAGGTCCCACAGTTGACAGTGCATGTCAGAGTGAAAACCAAGCCATGAGGTTGAAGAAATTGTCCATAGAGCCCCGAGACAGGATTGTGCTGCGGCACATATCTGGGGTAGTAACAAAACATTTCTGCAGCATTGAGGGTCCCCAAGAACACAGTGGCCTCCATCATTCTTAAATGGAATAAGTTTGCAACCACCAAGACTCTTCCTAGAGCTGGCCGCCTGGCCAAACTGAGCAATCGGGGGAGAAGGGCCTTGGTCCGGGAGGTGACCAAGAACCCGATGGTCACTGACAGACAGAGCTTCCAGAAGGACAACAATCTCTGCAGCACTCCACCAATCAGGCCTTTATGGTAGAGTGGCCAGATGGAAGCCACTCCTCAGTAAAAGGCACATGACAGCCCGCTTGGAGTTTGCCAAAAGGCACCTAAAGGACTGACCATGAGAAACAAGATTATCTGGTCTGATGAAACCAAGATTGAACTCTTTGGCCTGAATGCCAAGCATCACGTCTGGAGGAAACCTAGCACAATCCCTACGGTGAAGCATGGTGGTGGCAGAATCCTGCTGTGGGGATGTTTTTCAGCGGCAGTGCTGGGAGACTAGTCAGGATCGATGGAAAGATGAACAGAGCAAAGAACAGAGGGAACTATTTAATCCATTTTAGAATAAGGCTAACGTAACAAAATGTGGAAAAAGTCAAGGGGTCTGAATACTTTCCAAATGCACTGTAAGCCTAAGGCCGAGACAGTAAGACACAGTGGTAGAATACATTCAACCACACCTTTGTTTCATCACAAAACCGGAGAGCAACCTGTCCGGTGAAGTCCACAAAGCATATTGCATGTAACAAACAGTTATATGACCTGCATGGTCAAGCAAGTTAATGTTTCCGACATTTTCGGACCACTAAACAACTATTGATTTAGAACCATGGCGAGTTAACAAAAGTCGCAAAAAAACAGGAGCTGCCTCAGCCATTTCAACATCATGAAATCACCTATGCTTAGTCTAATACAGTGACAACTAAAAGATACCAAAAACAATTTAGTCCAATGTAAGCTAAATATGATGTTGCTGTCCATGGTTCTGATTTGTTTGTGTGTGCATGCAAGTAGAAAGAACATGTTGACTACTCACCCTACTGTAATATTCATATGTGTCAGCATAATGAATTGTAATTGGATGCATTCTACTGTCATATCATACTGTGCTAGGATTGGTTAAGACCACCCAGGTGGTGAGGGCATTCTAAATATGATCATGGCCAGAGACACATGAACATGCCAGTTATAGCTAGTTAATAAAGAGCTACGTTTATAAATATCCTGTCGTCCTGCATTTTATTATTTTGTACAAAGCATACAAAACAAGACATGGTGTCAGAGTAAAAGGACTAAAAGATGGATTTTGCTGGAGTTCCTTCACCTCGAATGGATTGGGGGTCTACAAATCTACCCGGTGCATGGCGTAAGTTCAAACAGCATGT